CCCCAAAACCCCAAAACCCCAAAACCCCAAAACCCCTAAATATTTACTCATAATATTTATTAATTATAATCATCATAAGCAAGAGGAGCACAGGCTTTGGCATTTCTCTTCTCTTCGTATTCCTTAGTCCATTCTGGAACTCCATCTTTCTCATTCACCTTGCGGAGTTTTCTGATCATGATTGGCTCAAATCTTTCTATAAACTCAAACCAGAGGTATGCAAGTCTCTCATCTTTGTATCTTAGGGTTCTCCATACATCATCGAAGTTCACTTCTGAGCAGAAACTTTGTGATAATGAAATACTATCTTCTAAGGCTACGTAGCAGTAGTACCACCCAGAAGGGATGAAGATCATCTCTCCTGGTTCAACGACTGCCTGTATCATCTCATATCTATCACACTTTGCTTTTACGTCTTCATGAGCAATGATCTTAGGAAGAACTTTATCAAAATATACTATTGCATCACATTCTGAGTTGTTTCCTTCTCAACCTGGAATTGAAACACCTTTTATAAGATCTTTAGGAGATTCAGGTTCAAACAGAACATATCTTCTCTTTCCAGTGATCACTGCTTCCCAAATACTCTCTTTATAAGGGTTTCTATAAAGCTTATGCCCACTTCTTTTTGGAATTATAGAGAAAAATCTCCATGGAGGTCTCCTAGCCTCTGCCATATAGCCTAGATAATCTTTTCCAAAGAAAGAGGGCTCAATATAATCATCTTTTAGAACTTTAGTGCTCATTCTTCTGTTATATCCATAATCATGTAGCATCAGTGGTACATCATCTTCATTATTTTTCATGTATTCAGCAAAGAGTTTAAGCTTCATTGGAATTCTTTCATCAAAATATCCATGACCTCCTACAAGAAAATTGATTTCTTCGTAATCCTTCAAAAGAGACTCAATTGTCCAGCTTGATGCTTTCCATTCACTCATGACGTTACTAATGACAGCTGGGCTATTCTCTCTGTCGTAAAGGGTAAGGAAATCATCTTCACTCATCAAGAGTCCATTAATATGCTGTGCGTTGTCATACTCCTTATTCTGGGCCCAATCTTCGCAAAGAGAAGAGTTGAAATAGACCTTCGACTTGATTGACCGAGGAAATTTCAACCTAATTTTATCGACTATTCTTTGGCAGTTAGGAGAAAATAATGGAGGGATTAATGGAGGTATAGCCCTCTTCTGTATTGGCTTTAGAGCATTTTGTAGTCTCCTCTTCTTTTCACTCTTATCCTTGACTTTCTTTTCCTTCTTTGATTTCTTAGATTTTTTAGACTTCTTGCTTTTCTTCTTTTTATCTCTTTTTCTTTCTAGCTTAGACTCTCAGCCTTCTTCTGGTGAAAGGTTTTCCTTATCAGCACCAATCTTTACACTATTCTCTTCAATTTCCATTGTAGGTGCAAAATCTGAGAGGGCTTAAATTTAATAAAAGACTCTAAAAATTGAGCAGAACTTTCTTACTAAAATAATGGTGGGTAAACTTGGACTGGTTTGCAGATTCATCTGTATCAACATAAACCAAGCTCTTGAAGATTTTTCTTAGGAATTTTGGGGTTTTGGGGTTTTGGGGTTTTGGGGTTTTGGGG